GGAAAAACAACGACAAGAACAAAGCACTTCTAGAGTACAGAGCAACCCCAATCCAAGGGATCAACCTCTCTCCGTCTCAACTCTCCATGAGACGTAGGCTAAGGACAACACTACCAATAGCTTGTGGTCTGCTAGAGCCTGAGGCACACAACATTAAAGAGATAAAAGCAAGAATGAAGCATGGCAAAGAGAAGCTGAAATACTACCATGATCGCCGAGGTACTAAAGAGTTGCCCCCGCTTAAGCCTGGTGATTTTGTTAGAGTGAAACCCGAAATGGGATCAAAGGACTGGAAAGCAGCGACAGTTGTGCAACAACATACATCGCCCAGATCTTACATAGTCGATGTAGGGGGCCGAAGAATCAGACGAAATAGAGTAGCACGAAGAACAGACTCCTCCAAGTCACATGCAGGGTATCAAAGCTGTCATGCGAACATCGAGGAAGCAGAGACAGATCCTGAGAAACCATGTGTAGTGCCGCATGTAGTGCCACCACCCATGCCAGACGCACGTATGGAGAAGCTACCATTAGATTACCAGTCAGACCAGTCAGTCGTAAGGAAAAGCCCAGCAAGAAAGATACCGCTTTCACCTGAAGTAGCAGCGACTTGGGGCTTGACCCTGTACACAACTCGATGTGGCAGACAAGTCAAGAAGCCAGTGAAACTAGACCTGTAATTAATTTTCAGAGTTGGACAGGCATTAAAAACGTAGCAATAATAGACACTGTTAATTGTTTAAACACTTTCTGCTTCTGTTCAGTTACTATATATAAATTTGTTGTTGTTGATATTATCAAGAGAGAGAAGGGGGGATGCTATGTATACCGCTGACCTCGTGTAGGCACAGCATGATATAAAACACGTGTGTTGTTTAACTCCAACATGGCGGTCGAGTGTTGATATGTTATAGTGACTGACTGACTTGATTTGAGATGGTGGGATGTTTGAGCCAACTGGGATTCCACGGTATTCAGCTATCCTTTCGCTTCCTTCCAACTTTGAATGTGTTTGGAAATCAACACCATAGTTTCATTTAGTATGGTGCAAGTGCAGTGGATCGTTCAAAGCTCTGTTACCGAGCAATTCAATGATCGAACGAAACAGCTGACAGAGCTGAATAGCAGACCTGGCAGATTGTACCGGACCCAAGGTTCTTTCAGAGCCACCTCAGTCACATGTATGTAGCATGCATTTAAATTTTGGATAATGGTAATTTAATAGATTTATTTTAATTTAATATTTTTACTTATTATTTTTACACGGTTATTAAGCTGGCATTTGTGCTGGGTTTGAGTCCAATTGGTGATTGGAGCATTACCTCTTGCAGGGGTGTCGATAGTTTTTCAAGTAAGCTGGGAAATGAAAAAAGTAGCGGGGGTTTTAAGAATCTGCTTGGGGAAGAAGTGGGAAGGGGTAGGAATAGAAATTTTGGGAACAAAAAAACCTTGCTGTAGATAAGGACAACAAAACTTTGAAAAGGTTTTGAAAATCAATCATTATTTTATTCTGACAAAACATTTTAGGTTGACATTGATAACACCCTCGTGCTGTGCTAATTGCTCAAAGCAAAGCTTATAAGAAATTACTTAAAGAAAACTGTTTACGCTGATGTGTACTAGGCAGGCTGACAAGATCTTTGTAAGACGAAGTCTTTCACCAACTGGGACCAAGCACATTCAAGCTGTCCCAGCTGAGTTATTTTTGTTGACATGTGATTTATTGGAGAGAAAGACCAATGGTTAACACTAAGTACCATTTGTGAAAGTGAAGGATGTTGCTGATCTCTGGGAGAAATTTTCAGCTTGTGTGCTGCATACCTTTTGAGAAAAAACAAGGTAAGATTGTTTTCGATTTTGGTTTTATCTAAGAGATAGCGCAGCGTCCTGCAGTATTTTTTAATGTAGTTGCATGTTAAAATTTTTTAACAAACTTGTTTGAATATAGATTTGATTAATTGTATCCCAATAAAGTTTTTTGGGTTGGACAGTTTGAGGGATGATTTATGAGCACTTATCTATTTGTCAATAACACACATAGTGTAACAAAAGCAATGACCATATGCCAAAGAGTTGTGTTAGGAGATTGGACACTAGTAAAGTATTAGGGGATTTATGTCGGGACCACGAGGTGAACATTAAAAGATGTTGAGTTGAGCTTGTGTGTGGCTGTCTCTTCCCCACAATAACATGGTACCAGGAGCGAAGAAAATAATGAAGTTACTATTGACCTACTTCTATTCTACTGTGAACCCTGCTTGGCGGATCCAGGCGGGAAATCTGTGAACATTTCTGTGAAAACAGTCTCCGAACCAGTTCGCACCAAAGTCTTCCAGAACTGACATAGTGAGGTAAACATTGATTATCTCGAGCGAATTTTCATTGTCTACTTTTGGCTAGAGCGAGGAATTCTGATAATTTCCACATCTATTCATTACTGCTGTTGTGAAAGATGGTTGACAAAGAAGCTGAGGGTGCTCCTGCTTAAAATCCTGCTGCTCATTTCTCTGGAAATATTATCAACTTTGAGTGACCAAAGTTCAATGCTCGCCAAGAAAATCGCCTCGAAGCATTAAAAGCATTCAAGAAGAAGTGTAGATATATCTTCAAAGGAAGCCTCATCAACATATCTGAGGAAAGAAAGTGTATACTGGTACAAGATTGGCTCAGACCAGAAGGCCAGAAGATTTATTACAGTTTAGACTGGGGCGACGATGAAGATGTAAACAGTTACGAACTGATGTGGACTAAACTGGAAGGAGCGGTAAGTGCTGAATGTAATGAGATCGTAGCTTCAAAGAAAGTCAAGGAACGAATTCAGAAACCTAGAGACAATCACTTTGTTTGTCACTGAATTGATGCTGTTAGTTAAAGATTGCAATTACATAGATGAAGACAGACAAGTGGGAGACCAATTTGTATGTGGTGTTTCTGATGATGATTTGAAGAAAAAACTGCTTGAAAAAGGAAACGCACTTACTTGAATTCAAGCTGTGTC